ACCTTTCTAGTTCAGTGACTGCCAGGATATAGCCATGCAACAGTGCCTTTTACTGTGCTAATGGGGACTGGAAAACTGCATTGTTCTGGGATGTTTTTGGTAGAAGAGTGCAATTTTTCCATTGCATGCAATTTGTTTGAACTTGACCTCTGCATTTTTAAATGTGGTTCTCCCAATTTCAGCTGCCAAAATACTTATTTTCAATTGATCGCCCTTTACACTAAGAAGGAAAATCTGTGTTTGTATCTGGATGTGGGTACCAGGCAAACAAAGTGGTTTTTCTCCTTGTAGTGCTATTAGATAATCTATAGAAGTGCTCTTCCTCACACATCCCCTCAGATAGACCATTTACAAGTAACCTCTTCTTACAGAGCTTTCTTCCCCAAAACATGCTGTTTTTGAACCCCTGCCTTCTTGAGTGCTTATTAGCTCTATTTTTATATTAATAATAAATCTAGACAGCTATTTAGGGAAGCCGTGATCAGGATATTTAATTATCCTGTGTAGAGTTTCTTCATGATGGCTCACTTCCAAAATAAAAATAGTCAATTGGAGGAGAGACTGCAAGTCTAAAACAACATGCCAAGCTTTCCCCACCCTAAAGCAGACACACAGGACAAATTATCTATACAAGTAACTATATTGTACTACCTGAAGATAAATGTATCTGAATATATATACTCTTGTTTTCATTTATCTAATGTATAAAAGTCATCTTTAAGAATTGTTGCCCTGTTAACTGCACGGGATGTCTTTTTTAGAGGTATTGAAAAATCATGCTGTTGTCTAAATAATAATCATCTAACTTTGCAAGTAACATGAAATGTTGCAACTAAAAAAACCTTATATATATGACAGCACTTTTTATATAGTCAACTTCTCTTTCTCTTTGAAGATGGTTTTTCTTTTTTTTATGCAAGTCTTTTATAAATATTCTTAAAATAAAGACAGATCTGTGTGGGGGTGGTTATTCTTATATAATAAAGGGCTTAGTCCGTCCGTCTGTCTGTCCGTAACGCGCTTAGAGCAATCCCCCCCCCCCCCCCCCCCGGTCCTGGGAGGTGGCGGCAGCATGGGGTGGTGGCTGGTGGTGCTCTGTCTGCCTGCCCCCCTATTGGTTAGTGAAACAAACAATCAGAGTGCAGAGCGTTGCTATCACAGTGCAGAGCGGTGGAGCAGGGACGGAGGCAGCAGTGGTGTGGGGTGCTGGCAGACGGGGACAGAGGGGGAAGCTTTCTTTCT